ACTGCACTCTGCCTGGGTGACAGAGTGAGACTCAAAAAAAAAACATAAAGAGTAAAACTTACGGTGAGCACATTTCCTGTGAAACAGTTTCGCATTTATTTTATACAGATGGTCCCTGATTTATGAGAGCTTGATTTAGGATTTTTCAGCTTTACCATGGTGTGAAAGAGATATGCATTCAGTAGAAACTGTACTCCCAATACCCATGCAACCACTGTTTTTCACTTTCAGGACCATACTCAATAAATTACATGAGTTATTGAACATTTTATTATAAAATAGGCCTTATGTTAGATGCCCAACTGTAAACTAATGTTAAAAAAAAGAAAAACACTAATATACATAAAGTAATTGAAATAATTTCTAAATTTCTCCCAAGCAACTTGAGTTTTTCTTCTTGTGAATGCGTCATTGGCTTCCTTTCAAACCATTTTGTGTTTTTACATTTCTTGTCACAAAGCATACATTTCATTTGCTTTAAATTATGCCCCAAAAAAGTTTTAAAATAAGGTACTTAGACTGGGCGTGGTGGCCAGCACTTTTTTTTTTTTTTGAGTTGGAGTCTCACTCTGTCGCCCAGTCTGGAGTGTAGTGGCACGCTCCCGGCCACTGCAGCCTTGACCTGCTGGGCCTGGGTGATCCTTCCACTTCAGCCTTCCAAGTAGCCAGAATTACAGGTGTGTGCCACCACACCCGACTAATTTTTTGATTTATTGCAGAGATAAGGTCTCGCCAAGCTGCCCGGGCTGCTCTCGATTCCGTGGGCTTAGGCAATCCTCTCACCTTGGCCTCCCAAAGTGCTGGAGTTGTATGTGTGAGCCACCACACCTGGCCGGTGTCCAGTACTTTGAGAGTTCAAAGTGGGAGAGTTGCTTGAGGCTAGGAGTTCAAGGTCAGCCTGAGCATATGTTGGGTATGACCTCGTCTTGTTCCAAAAATTTTTTTTTATTGGTCAAGCATAGTGGTAAGCATCTGTATTCCTAACTACTCAGGAGGCTGAGGTGGGAAGACCACTTGAGCCCAGGAATTAGAGGCTGCAGTGAGCTATAATCGTGCCACTGCACTCCAGTCTGGACAACAGAGTGAGATCTTGCCCCTACAACAAACAAACAGGAAATTTTAATAAGAGTCCCAATGAATGACCCCTTTACAGGCATTATAGCGATGATAGTGTTTGAACACATTTTAACAAGTGCCATTCTAGAAGGATACCCTAGCACCATGAAAGATGTGCGTTCAGTTTTTTGGTTTTTTTTTAATTTTAAAGATGGGCCTTACCGTTTTAACGTGGGGCTTAAAAATGGACTCTAAGCTGGGCTCGGTGGCTCAGCCTGTAATCCCGCGCCTTTGGGAGGCTGAGGTGAGTGGATTGCCTGAGCCCGCGGGTTCGAGACCCGCCTGGGCAGCGAGACCTCATCTCCACAATAAATCAAAAAATCAGCTGGGTGTGGTAGCACATGCCTGTAATTCCGGCTACTCGGAAGGCTGAGGCGGAAGGATCGCCGGAGCCCAGCAGGTCGAGGCTGCAGTGGCCGGGAGCGGCCACTACACTCCAGTCTAGGCGACCGAGTGAGACTCCGACTCAAAAAAAAAACCAAACAAAACAAAACAAAACAAAAAAATCGACTCTAACATCCTATTTTTATATTCAGTGTTGAAAAAATTCCTTAAAACTTGCTAATTTAATCAGATACAGTCACACTAACATAAATGCATTTAGATGAATAATTTTGCATATTTGCAATTATTTTAATTTCAAATTTTGCCAAATTCAAAAATACGTACCACTTAAAGCAAATAGCACAATATTAACAACTGTATCTTCAGGTAAGAGTTATATGGTAGCCGGACACGTTAGTTCACACCTATAATTCCAGCACTTTGGGAGGCAGACGTGAGAGGACTGTCTGAGCCCAGGGGTTCAAGACCAGCCTTGGCAACTTGGTGAGACCTGGTCTCTACAGTAAATCAAAAAAATTAGCCAGGCATGGTGACGCTTGCCTGTGGTTCCAGCTACTTGAAAGGCTGAGGCAGATCATCTGAACCCAGCAGGTTGAGGCTGTGGAGGCCTGAGCAGCATGGCACTGCATTCCAGCCTGGGAGACAGAGTGAGACTCCTACTCAAAACAAACAAACAAAAAACACAAACAAACAAAAACACATTAAGATGTGTTTTGAGAGTCAGCCTCGGTGGCTTAGCCTATAATCCCGCGCCTTTGGGAGGTTGAGGTGAGTGGATTGCCTGAGTTCGCGGGTTCAAGACTCGCCTGGGCAAGTTGGCGAGAACTCATCTCTACAATAAATAAAAAAATCAGCTGGGCGTGGTAGTGCATGCCTGTAATTCCGGCTACTCAGAAGGCTGAGGCGGAAGGATGGCCGGAGCCCAGCAGGCCGAGGCTGCGGTGGCCGGGAGTGGCCACTGCACTCCAGTGA